AGAGAGAGAGAGAGAGAGAGAGAGAGAGAGAGAGAGAGAGAGAGAGATTGAAAACGAATCAGGGGTAGAATTTGAACATGCAGAGGTTCTCCTTGTGACCTCTGACGCTTGGTGTAAGCTGAGCTGGAGAGGTGAAAGGCAGGAAGGACCCCAATTCTGCTGGATCCATAGGCAAGCCAAGAACACTTCGCCAGACCCATCCAGTAGCCCCCAGAGCGGTCATCAACAAGAAGAGACCCACTACTGCTCCTCAGCTCCCAAGGCCAGAGCCCAGGGCTGGAACACAGCCAACCCAGACAGGCTGCTAACCTGAGGACATGACTGATAAACCCTCAAACTTGTTATTCTGAGTCCTGAAGGTGCTTCCTATCTGTTCCCGTTTCAATTCCTCCACTTTCTGCATCTGTACTACCTCATCCAGGCCTTTTCATGTCTCACCTGAACATTGCGGCAGCTTGCCCGAAGGCCAGAAGAGTCCTCCCTACACTCCAGACAAACGGTGCCATTCCCAGGCAAACCCCCTTCAAAGGAACCAGAGACAAAGTTGTGAGAAGCAAACTCGCAAGTGTTGAATACAGGCTCTTCATGACCTCCCTCCCATCCCTCCCACTGGCAAGTCTCCTGTCCCTTCTCCCTTGCCCTCCTTCACCTTGCACCCCATCCCCAGACATTCTGAAGAACCCACCATCTTCTGGCATTTGTTGCATGCCTGGCTTTTTGTCTAGGTTAATCATTTTATCTGTAGATTCTCTTTCCTTCTTCAGTTCTTTTCCAGCGACCTTCAGGATTGGAGCACACCATTCTCCTGCTCTCTCTGACCTCTGTCTATAAGAGCCTCAGCTGGTTCCCTTATATCTCATGTGCCCCAAGTTCTCAGGCCCTAGCTCTGCTAGCTCCGGCTACCTTGCCTTCCAGCCCTTTAATCTCTTGTCCTGTCTTAGGTTCCTAAAAGGCAAGGACTGTATTTTGGCTCTTCCAGTACCCAGGCTGCTGATACAGTGCCTGGCATATGATAGGCAGCCGACAAATGTTTGTTGAATAAATAAATGAACAAGATTTCCAAGTAGAAATTAATTATAGACAAGGTTGAAAGTGAGAGGGGAGTACACAGCTCCCCAGACACTGCGTTTGCTTAAGTCTTTCTTCAAATAGAATTTTCTCCTAATTTTAATATTCAGTCAGGGAGTTAATGTCACCAATATTCGTGAAATTGGATGCTTTCAAGAGAGGGGAAGTAGCACACATGTACAAATAGCAAGGAGAAGTGAAACTGGAGAGGAGAGAGAGAGAGAGAGAGAGAGAGAGCGTGCATGCTTGCTTTTCTGCTGCTGTGACAAGCACTAAAAGCTTGGAAGGACAAGGGTTTATTTGGCTTACACGTCCTGACTATAGCCCATTATTGAGGGACATCAGGGCAGGAACTTGAATGTTTTTTTGAGTTCCTGCCAATCATATGCCAGGCACTGTATCAGCAGCCTGTGTACTGGAAGAGCCAAAATGCAGGCCTTGCCTTTTAGGAACCTAAGACAAAAACAGCCCTCTTTAAGGGCTGGAAGGCAAGGTGGCTGGGGCTAGCAGAGGTAGGACCAGAGATTGGGGCACATTGGGTAAGGCAACCAGCTGAGGCCCTCAAAGAGACAGAGGTCAGAGAGAGACAGGGCAGAGACAAAAATCATGGAGAAAAGTTACTTACTGCCTTGCTCCTTTTGGCTCACACTCAGTCCCCCCTTTTTTAATTAATTTACTTTTATTTTATAAACATTGGTGTTTTGCTTGCAGGTATGTCTGGATGAGGATGCCAGGCCATCTGGAAGTGGAGTTATAAACAGCTGTGAACTGCCATGTGGGTGCTAGGAATTGAACCTGTGTCCTCCGGTAGGACCCAGTGATCTTAACCATTGAGCCATCTCTCCAGCCCCCTTAGCATTCTTTCTTATATAACCCAGGGCCACCTGCCCAGGGGAGGCATCACAATGGGCTGGACCTTCCTATATAAATTAGTAACAGAAACCGTTCCACAGACCTGGACACAGATCAGTCTGATGGAGGCAACCCCACAACTGAGACTCCCTCAGATAACCGGACTGTGGTAGTTGACAGTTTAAGCCAACTGGGGAAGGGTTCCGTTGAGAATGGTGCCAAGGAAGGAGGCCGTGGTGGTCTGGCTAAGCCATAAAGTCCTGCCCTGAGCTTCTGACACTCAGGTTGTCACTCATACACCAAGATTAGTGACCACTGCAAGGAGCATGTTCTGGAGTGCTAGCCCTGGCCACGGGATAGAAGAGCATCATTTGTGCCCCTCAGTTTTTGATCTCCGCCTGCCAGAGGGCTCCTCTGGGTTCCCACTTCAGATCTGGTCTTTCATTCTGGCTCTATGCATCTGAAAAAGCTTTGTTTGCTGACAGTCCTCTAAGCTTTCCACTTACCACGCTGTCTCCACTGATGGGTGTTTGGGGGATAACAGAACTTTGTCTGTTATCTTCTTGGCTCCTAGCCATGGGTGTCCTGAGCCTCACAAAGGTGAAGGAAGCTAGTAGGTTGTGGTAAAGAATGGGCATAAATACCTCAATGAGAAGAACGGAAAGATGCAAGAGCGGGAGATGGGGCCAGGATGCATCCTGAGTATCTGTCTATCCCGACCAAAGCTGCTGGGCAGTTTTTGTAGAAAGCATCCCTGAGAGCAGTGAGTAATGCCTTCTCCTGGGTACCTACTGAAGACTCTAGAAGTGTGTGTGAGCCAACAGGTCTTCAGAGACCTTGAGAGAACATTGACATGGGGTTCAGCAAGGAACCAAATATCAACCAACCCCACTTGGACGTCTCCGACTCAGAGCCCCGGAAAAGCCACTGCAAACTTCAGTGGAAGTTCTGCAGGCATGGAGGCAGAGGATGGCCAGGGCTGCAACAGGCCAGAATGACACAAAAGGAGACACCAGTCTCCATGTGTGACCAGAGGACTCAATATAACAGGTGAAAACAAGAGACAAAGGGATGAGTTGGTCCCAGGGCGGATGGTGCATCTGGGCAGTCTGGGGCTGCCTCCAGAGAAACACAAACTGTAGTCGCCCTCAGGTCCCGGGATCCCAAGGCTACCACCAAATAACTAGTGTAGGAAAACAATGGCTAGCCTCTCAATGCTGGAGACTGAAGCTTGGAGACGTCATGGCTCTGGGCAGTTTGGAAGACAATGAGGGACTTCAGAGACTGTCTGAGAAGAATGGAAGGATAATAGTGAGCCAAGCATAGGAGTCCGGGAGAAAATGAGGAGCTGGGCTGGGGAGGTGGGCAGGAAGGGAGGACAAGCAGCCAGAAACGAGGCTGAAACATCGTGTTCTTTTGCTGATGATAACTGGATGGACGGACAGAAGAATGGATGGACGGATGGATGGATGAGCTGATTGGGGGGCCGTGGCCTGCTACATATCCCAGGCTAGTGTGAACCTTGCCATCATTCTACCCTGACTTTCCAAAAAGTCAGTGAGATTCCTGTCACTTTAATGCATTGGTTCTCAGCTTTCCTGATGCTGCGAATCTTTAATACAGTTCCCCATGGTGTGACGACCCCCAACCATAAAATTACTTCGTTGCTACTTTATAAATGTGACTTTGCTACTGTTATAAACCATAATGGAAATACCCATATTTTCTGATGATCTTAGGAGACCCCTGTGGTCGTTTGACCCCAAAGGGGTCATGACCCACAGGTTAGGAACCATTGCCTTAATGACTACAGATTATTTGAATTGAAGGTGTGTTTCATCTCTGGCCTTGTCCTCCTGAGGAAGGAGACTCAACATGCCACGCAGCCCAACGACCCACAGCTTAGAAGGACATTCTGGACTGTCATCTGAAAACATGACCCTGATCCGGGAGTCCATGAAGGCAGCGGGGTCTCTCCATGTTCTTTGAACTACTGGCAACATCTCTTGGACCTTAACACAAGGGGCACGTTCACCTGTCTGTGATCAGTGCGAGGCTGATGACTCTGTGGCAGGTTCCTTGGCGCTGGGGCTGGCACTGCAGCAACCCAGCGTGACAACACAGGCGCTCTCAAGCTGATCTGGAGTGCTGATTGCCAGCTATTGACAGCTTTGATGAATAAAAAATGGGAAGCCGAATTAATTATTGCTTATGAAATGCAGATTGTTTGGTAGACAAATATCTCTCAAATCTTGGGGCCCACCAGGGAAGATCACAAGAGTTAACCCATGGTAATGAAGGAGGTTGAGGTTGATGAAGGGGTCTCAAGAGTCCAACTCCATACTGTGTGACTGTCTGTCCTACCTTGCTTTCTCTGTCCCTAGCTGTCTTGTGTCTTTCTCTGCCTCTGCAGACCTTTCTGTTCCATTCAGGACTCTGACCTCCCTGATTCCATGATTTCTCTTCCCTTGGTCTTGGTCTCCTTTCCCACTTCTCTTCTGTTTCTTGAGCTTCTGGCCATTGGCCTCTCTGGTGGCCTCGGGGTGTCCTGGCTTCTCTGAGGCCATTTCTTTGATGATCTCTCTCTTTCTCCCCCATCCCCCATCCTTCCTCTCTGGGTTGCTGATAGTTCTAGGATTCTTTCAGCTTCTCCAAAATTATCAGTGTTAGGGGTTTTGTTTAATTACCTTGCCTTGTTGTAGGGGTAGAAGGCCATGTCTGAAGACTTCTCTTTCCTGACCTTTGATCTATTAGACAGGAGGCTTTAAGGGACAGGGGCTGCCTGCTCACTTCTATGTCTTCCGTGCCTGCTTGGCTGGCTGGCCTGTCCCTAGGGTCTCTGCACTGCTATTCTTTTGCCTGTCCAGGTTTTCACACCTCCGTGTCTCTCAAGGTTACTGTTTGCTGTCTGTCCCTGGTTTTCTATACCTCTGCCATCTCTTCCTCCCGCTAGCATCCACTGGCCTTCCTCATGTGCTCTGTCTGTCCCAGCCCACCCTCCCAATCTCCCTCTCTCCCCTCTTTCCGCAGTATGAGCTGGGGCTGGAGATCAGCTATGCTCAGCCCAGAGGCCAGGCCACACCCAGACTCCCCCCTATGCACTATGTCTTCTTGGGCCTTTCTTCAGTTCTCTTCAGAGCTTTACTTGCTTGGAAGTGAACAGTTTTGCCTCCTGAGTAGGAGAAACCTCCTCAGCTGCCCGTTCCTGACCCTTTCCTTCCCCAACAATCGATCAAGGGCTCTAAGTAACAACGCAGGGCAGCAACCGCAACTGACCCACTCCTGGCTGGGTTGAGGGTTGGAGTCTACTTTCTTGCCCTGCTTAGGCTTAAATTGGAGAGAGATGAAGCTGCACCTTGATAGAATCCATCTCTAGGGACCGCCTTTCTTGGCTTTAGCCAAGTAGCCTGTAGGTGTCCAAGCTCTGGGAAGGGGTTAGCTCTGGATGATAGTACCTGTGGGATTTTCACATCTATACTCTCAAAATAAGAGACTGAAGTTTGGAGTCACACAGGCAGGGATCGAATGCCAATTTAGCCACTGACCTTCAGCCTCTGTCTTCACACCTATAAGTAGCGAGCAATAGCTTTTGTCTTATAGAGTAATGCGTGGATTGTGATCTTCCATGAGAGGCACGATGCCTTGAACCATCAAAATTCACCAAATGGCAGTAGAGAGCCACAGGAGGCAGGGGACAGACAGACACGCAAGCTCTTCTGCACAGGAAGGAGCGTGGCTGCCTACTAATGGCAGCTTTGAGCCTCTTCATCAAAAACCACCCAGAGAGAGCATTCCAAAGGGCCACAGCTTTGCTTTGCCTTTGGCTCTCAATCTCTGCCTCAGACATGACTCTGCAAAACTCCCAGACAGATGGCATTCTTCTGGAACTTCTCTAGGGGCAGACACGCCCAGCCTTCCCCTTTACTCATCTTTAGCTCCCCTTCCTTCCCAGGCAAGATGTGTTTCCTGGCAGACCACCCCAAGACCTCTTACTTTTCACACAGACTTGTTGGCTTTAGAAAGGGCTTCGTGACCCTGGAGAAGAGCTTCCTGCTGCTGGCCCCCCAGGTGACCCTTCTGCATGTGCCTTCTGGACAGAGCACTCGGGTTTCTCCACCCCCACCCCCTCAACGAACTACAGGATGGGAAAGACGCCAGAGAAGCTGCATCTCAGAGCCAAGTACTCACTCGAAAATATCTCCAAGGCCTTTTCCAATTTCCTGGAAATTGATAAGTGTTTCCAGGATTCAGATTTTGTGACTGGGTGATGCCTGGCCCCTGCCTGTCTCTCCTTTCCTCTTTCTAGGTGTGCCAACCCCGCATCACTGCCCCCAGGAAGCCAACCCGCCTTTGGGAGGCTCTTCTTCCCACCCTGGGGTATGGGGGCACTCTCCTCCCTCCTTACTGTAGTCCTGGGGAATCTTGGCACCTGCAGACGCTGGCGGAGCTGGAGGGAGGTGTGACTTGCTTCTCAGCCTGCCCCACATGACTCACCACCTGCCTTCCAGTTTCTCTCCCCATCCTTACATAATCCTGACTCCAGGATTAAAAATACTCTGCCGAGTACCCATCCATCTGTCACATTCCTTCTCTAAATATATATATATATATGTATATATATATATATATGTAGTTATACATATATGATCTTATTTTTAAGACGCGTTGGAAGGAGTACTTCCATCACTCGCGCTGTGGAGTGCGGGTTTCCGAGTCAGTGCTGGCTTCCTGCAGAACAGCAGTCCTGGGGGAGTGAGACTTCCCGAACCTCGAGGATTGCAGTCTGTTTTGAGTAGGTTTGCCTTAGTCAGGGGACAAATCCTGGGTACCACCCGACTCCATCTCAGAACAGCCAGGGCTGGCCTTGCATGGTGTCTTCTGTAGCCTACTAGCAGAAGCCCGGCTACCTGGACTAATATAAGGCCCGAGTCCATACCCCACCACCACTGTGGACCCCCACCTCTTGTGCTATCACACAACTCATGAGCCCCTCCCACTTGGTCTCCACGTATGGCCCCTGGCCTGAAGGAAGAAAGAGGATTGGGGCTCATTCCTGGTCTCATCACCTTCGTGATTCAGCCAAGTGCCATTAAGATCTGGATGGGACAAACCTCACTTAACTCACTCACTGGCTCGCTGGCTCACTCACTCACACATTTTGCATGTGTACACTGGGCACTGGGCACAGCTGAAATGACTGGCAGAACACCA